ACAAATATTTATCGGGAGCGTGTATGCTGGGATTTCATAAATTTCATGGAGAAAAAAGTAACGTTACTAGTAATGTAACTAATTACTAATTACTTTTGAAATAAAGTAATCAGAACAGTAACGTGATTACTTTTAAAAGGAGTAATCAGTAATCAGTAATTTGACTACATTTTCAGAGTAACTTGCCCAACACTGTAAACGAGTAATAATACTTTTAAATCAATCCTAATGGAACTGGAAGTCAGTGTAAGGACCTGAGGACTGGTGTGATGTGCTCAGATTTTCTGGTTCTAGTCAGAATCCTGGCAGCAGTGTTCTGGATGAGCTGCAGCTGTCATAGTCCACCCTGCTGGTGATAAAGGCATGAACAAGTCTTGACAGCAAAAAAACATCTAATTCTTGCAATGTTTTTGAGATGATAGTATGCTGATTTAGTTATCGCTTTGATATCACTACACTGTAAAACTTCAATGTAAAAAAAAATCACTTAATTAATCACTTAATGGTCTAATTAACTGCAACACTTTTACTCTTTGTAGTGTGAACACTACAAGATTTTGCAGTGGGGTTAAAAGGGTTAAAGGTGTAAAATAAAAAGACACTTCCGCCAAATGTATTTTAACAGTAATAAACTGTAAATTAAGTTATGGCAAGCAAACTGTGGAAAAACAGTAATATATTGTCAAAGCCACATTGAGTCACGTGAACTAAATTAAAGGAGAGAAAATGCTGAAATGAAGTGTTATTTCATGTGTTTTCACACATAATGAGATTGGGGCGATCTGTTAGTGTTTCATGTTCTGTTCTGTTGGGATTTAAAGGGTTTCTGTTGTCTGAGTTTTGTGGGTTACCATCGTGCTGAAGAGTAGAGTCTGCGTTTAAGTCAAGATGAGCAGAGAAACATTGATGTGTTGCTGCATGTTGCTTTATTTAAAGGCAGTAACTGTGAAGTTGCTGATGCAGTGATGATATCTTTGCTAATTCTATCAGGACACGCATATATGCTGTTGTTAGTAAGCAGTTATCTGCAAGAGATTTGAGTTAAATTTGTTTCTATGATTTTGCATAATTCAGTTCATTTTATTTTAAAAAATAATTTTTTTATAGTTGACTCAAATAAGTTCACATTCGTTTATAAACATAAATGGCAGTTGGCCGGTTTCTACAAACGAAATGAAAAAAATAAATGTAGTTTTTTTTTTAGTGCATTACAGTAACATAGTGTAAAGTAAGTAAATAAATGTAAAATTAACAGTAAACTACAGACAAATGTGCTGTCAGTATTTCACTGTTAATGTACAGGACTATTTTTACACTGAAGTTTTAAATACAGTAAAATACTAAAAATATACAGTACTTTGAAGGTGAAGCTGCTGCCAGTTAATTACTGCAAATCTACAGTGAAAAGTTTTACAATGTACTGAAACTAAAGTCACCAAGATTCCTGACTTGATTTTTAGTTGTTTGACTCCTAGAGTCTAGGTATACATTCACCTTCAGAACTTCATCTTTGTTTGCAAATGCAATGACTTCCATGTTCTCTTTGGTTAACTGAAGAAAGTTTTGGCACATCCAACTGTTGATTTCATCAATGCATTGGCAGAGGGAGTCAAGGCTAGGCTAGATATGGCTAGGTAAATCTGGGTCTCATCTGCATAGCTGTGATATGCAATCTTGTTCTTTCTCATTATTTGACTCAGTGGGAGCATATACAGGTTGAACAATTAAGAGTGGCGCAAGAATTGAGCCTTGAGGGACTCCGTATGTCATGGACATCCACTTAAACTTAATGTCACCTATAATAACCTTTCCCTTCTATTTGGCCTGAACCATTTGAGGACCATCCCAGAAAACCTGACCCAGTTTTCCAGTCTAAGTATGTTGTGATCAACAGTGTCAAATGCAGAACTGATATTTTGCCAGAATCAGTATTTAAGAGAATATAATTTATTATCTTTAATGTTAATAACATTTATTAATAAATGATGCATTTTCCACTTCTAAGCGATCAACTTCTAAACAGTTAAACACACTTTTGAAAAAAAAATATAGGAAGTGTGTCAAGGCAGCAGGTTGACATTTTAAGGTGCTGTACGGTTTCTTCTGAAATGTTGCCATCAATTGCTTTGAAATCAGACATAGTAACTGCTTTCTGAAATTGTGGTCGATATGTCTGACCTCTGTGCAATGTGAGGATGTGCTGATCGCCTCTCTGAGAATCTGACTTGGGGGTTTAGTCTCTCAACAGTAGCAAAAAGAGTGTGAGTGTTGTTCAACTTGCTGTTTATAAGGTTTGAGAAGAAGGTCTGTCTAGCTGTGCCTAGTTCCACATTGAAAGCATGAAGGCTGTCTTTATAGATGTTATAGTGAATTTCAAGTTTCGTCTTCCGCCACATGCTTTTCTGCATTCCTTTCATACTCTGTACTGCTGTTGAGTTTCTCCGAGGTGCTTTTTGTTTGCCAGTCTTTATCCTGACTGACATCAATAACAGTCTTAATAACTTTTGAGTTAAATGAATCAAGGAGAAAATCATCAGAGTCTGCCGTTATAGCCTTCATAAATAGCACACTAGTGTTCTCATTTATGCATCACTTTTTGTAACAGACACAGATCTAGTTTCAGTGGTAGAAGAGATCAATACATCAAAGAAAACACAGAAGTGATCAGATGCTACGTCCTTAATGACAATAATGGATGATAATATTGGTTAATTATTATTAATCAATAACGATTAAAAATGGATGAAATGTTCAGACCCTTACTGATGAGTATATTTTATATATTTTATTTCTTTTTTAATTAGAAGGACCTTTTCCACTATACTGTAAATAACCTTTTTGGATGTTAAAGGTTCCTCATGGAACCACAGGTGCCAATAAATAACTTAAATTTATGAGAGTGTCATTCCTGGACAAAGCAAACTCAAAATACTTTGTGACAAACTCACCGCAAAGGGGATGTCATTAAAAACATGTAGTGAAGAAATGAGAATTCTGTAGGTAATAGGTCCAATTTATTGGAGATGTATTACTTCACCTAATA